TTAGCCTTTATTAATCTGTAATAAATGTTACTTTTATTAATAGTAAATCAAACAAAGTAATATACAGGTTTTTTGCAATCTTCATAACTTTATGCTCAAGCAACCGTAGCCGCTTACCCTATAAACCCTACCCCTAGTCCTTACATTATAAATACTAGTTTCAGAATTAACATGGCTAGAAATCTTTACAATAATAGCAAAAAAAAAACAAAACAAAAAAAATCATTTTTCATGGCTGCTTCATACGCTTACCTTACAAAACAGCTTGGAGAGTTCAAGTTATGGTTTTGCAACTTATAATATTACTTATTATCTAATAATGTTTCATCCTTCGGAGACTACATAGAAGCAACAAAATAAAACATCAACCTACACGACAAAACAATGGAATGTTTCGTTTTTCCCTATTCTCCGTGGGATTATGTTGGGAATTGCATAATAACTATTTTTTGGCACCAATAAGGCTGGTGAGATCATTATTGCCCCAATGATGTTGTCACTACATTTTCTACTTTAGTGTTGAAACAAAGAAAATGAGAAGTGTTAGGCTCCTAGGAATAGGAGACGATGAAGAGTTTAGGCGCTCTTATGGATTCGTATACAATGCTGGTGGTGAATGTGTTGTCCATATCGCACCTCAACACATTGAGAGTATTGCCTTTCTAAAGGATCTATGATTTAACTTTGGTCCAATGATCATAATGTAAAAGAGCATTGGAAACTCTTGGTTTGGTTTCTTTGTGGTTTTGCTGAGATGTGTGTCATGTCCATGTCTTCAGTGTGTTACTTTGCTCACTTTGTTGTGATGGACTAATGGTATTTTTTTTTTTTTTTTTGATTAGGCATTATCTCCTTTTAACGTATGTTAATTGCTTGTATGTTTTTGTAGACTCAAGGTTAAGCTATAAAATCAAACGAACCACTTAAATGAAAGATCACGTTTTACATTAGGGATCGTCGATGGAAGTAGTCAATGAAAAACAATCCAATTATATAATTACTTATCATCAGAATATATAACTTTTATTGATTTTACAATGACCAGTAAGTAATCAAACTATACTATTGACATGAAACATCTCTAACCAAACCAAACTGAATCACATGTACCAGTCCAATTCATTCAGTAGGCAAATTCTCTGCTTCATATCTAACCGAATCGAACAGTTTAGTCGATAAATAACGTTCTCCCCCACTTGGAAAAACAACCTGAAAACCCGACAAAAACCGCGAAAATTCAATAATCCCGATTTAATTTCGGTTTAAATCAAAGCTTATGGCCATTTCAGAGTCAGAGACAGAGCTTTACCACAATGAGTTTCCCAGCATTTTCTGGCCGCTTTGCAACCTTTAACGCAGCCGCTGCCGCGGCTCCAGAGGATATTCCCACCTACCAAATAAAATGATCACATTTTTTAGATACTCCAGTACTATTTTCGGGTTTGTACCGCGAAAAAAGAACATGTTGACGGATTTGTACCAGTAATCCTTCTTTGAGGGCAAGAAGCTTGGCTGTTTCAATGGCTTCCTCACCTGTCACCTAAATCAATAGGTTGCAAAAAATATTAGATCATTGTTTCATAATGATCAAGAAGTATAGATCATCTCAGACTACTTACTTTAATAATTTCATCAACAATGGTTAAGTCCAAATTGAATGGGATAATACCAGAGCCAATTCCTTGGATCAAATGTGGACCTACAACATGAAAAATCCCGATAACCGATATTACGATTAGAAGATGCAAGAACTCGGACGCAAGAGTGATGGTTTCAGATGACTTGGAGAACTATATTAATTCTTGTACAAGCATAAGAAACTTAAGGTTATAACGTTATGTGTTAGAGACTTGGCGTTAGAATATAGTTTGCTATACATTATGTTATAATGGCTTAATGCTATCACTATATATATATGTAAGTTGGATCGCATATGATCTATCAAATATTGATGTTCTGACCTGGTTGGCCTCCGCTCAGTACTGGACTTTCTAAAGGTTCCACCACACAAACCTAATGATCAAGATTGTAACCGAATTATGAAAGAACACTCGGATTTTTACGGCTGTTTTCAAGAATTAGTGAAGTTTTTTTTACCTTAATGTCTTTATTCTTCTCCTTGAGGTACCTTCCTACTCCACTAGCTGTTCCACCAGTCCCAACACCAGCAACCAATATATCTACTTTCCCAGCCGAGTCTCTCCATATTTCCGGCCCCGTGGTTCGGTAATGAATCTGCAAGATAGAAACTTGTATTCAACCGTAGCCAAAAGATCGAGGATTCAAAAAGGGATGCATGATATTTAATAGACCTCTGGGTTTGCAGGATTTTCAAACTGTTGTGGAATGTAACCACCAGGAGTTTTGCTTAATATCGCTTCGGTTTTCTCCAACATTCCTTTAAGGCCAATGCGATAGTCTGAGAGATGAAGCTCAGCACCTAATGCTCTTAGAATAATTCTTCTCTCTAAGCTCATAGTTGAAGGCATCACAAGTATCACTTTATAGCCTCTTGCGGCTCCAATACAGGCTAAACCAATCCCGGTGTTACCAGCCGTTGGCTCGATCAATGTACTCTTTAAACCAGAAAAAAAAAAACATTTTCAAATTCCATAAGTGAAAAATTCTTACTGAAAAAATTTGGATAAACTATATATGATTTAACCTTGCCAGGAGTAATTAGTCCTTTCTCTTCTGCATCTTTAATCATACTATACGCGATTCTGTCTTTGACGCTAGAGCAAGGCTCCATCATCTCAAGCTTTGCAGCGATACGAGCCACACAACCATCAACAACTTTGTTAAGATACACCATTGGTGTGTTACCTATCAACTACACAAAACATAGTACTAAACAACTTTAGACTCTTTCCTTTTTCAAGAAAAGCAAATTCGTAGTACCAAAGGAACAAGAGATGATGTTTTTACTTCAGTGACATCGTTCTTGATCATACATCGATCTTCCATGTTGGTTTTGTTTCCTGAAACTCCTCAAGATTTAAAACCTTTAATGGTCACTTTGGGTTAAAGATATATCAATCAATAAGTTCATAACTAAAACTATTAATTTAGAACCTCTAAAAAACAGTGAAAACAAGATTAGTAAAATTTGATACCCAAGATCAAGAAATGGTAATTTATAAACAAGATTTCTCTAAACAAATATCAACAAAATTAAGAAAAAAAAATTAAAGAAAAAGTCGTACCTTCTTGAAGATTAAACGAATTATAATTAATGAAGAAGATGAGAAAAAATAAAGACAAGACTAAATCCTCAAGATTAGTGTTGTAGAGTCGTTGTAATTGTATATATAGAGTACCCTACTTCGCATGTGGTGCACAGTGTAAGATGAAAACGAGTTTATGTCATCTTTTGCATTATTGAAACTTGAGTGGAGGAAACGTTCATTTCCAATATACAATTACAATTTCTATTACAAAACATAGATTATATTATTATAACTTTATAGATATGGACAAACAAAATCTAGCCAATGAAACGAATTAACCAAAATATCAATTTACTTTCAAGTTTATATTTATAGGCTTTGCGTAAGATATTTTTACCACTTGATAAATATGAATTTGAATTTGTCTTTAGTGTGTGAAATAATAATTACAAATTAATTGCAAGTGTGTGTGTCCATGTTGTCTAATGTGAAAACAAATCTAATAGTTTAATAAACGTTTTTCTTTTTGGATTAATTAATACTAATATTTTAAAAGCTTTGAGAGGATAATAGTCATTTTCTGTGATTAAAAGACTAATCCTTATATGTTATCTGGATAGGATTATGATTGAAATGGTCGGATAATATAACAAAATTGTAAACAATTCAAGCTTCTTTAACATTATGTTTTTTTGTCATTACATAAAAAAATTGTTGGTACAAATAGTTACACAATTGCAAACGTAATTCTTGTTCTGGTAGCCTAAACCCAAATCACGTGAACGTAGTTTTTGTTATACAGAAAAATATTTATAAACTGCCAAAAAGAAAAAGGCTGCAAAGAAAATATTTCAGGAAAGAACAAAATCCTACGCCTAAGCGTACGGGTATCCTATTGAGTTTAGGTCGAGTATTTCGGATTTTTGGTATTTCGGCTTCGTGTTCAGATAAACATCCATTGAGTTTAGTTCGGTTCGGGTGATAATGGAAATACACTTTGAAAATAGGTTTGATTTTGATTTTTTTATCTGAATCTAAACAAAAAACAATCAAAAATCAGTATGATCTTTAAGAAACCCGAACTTAATGTTATAAACCAAGCAAAACAAAGAAAATATTCAAAAACCATTATAGGTTCAAAGCAACTTAAAATTCATGTCTTAAGAAAATTAAGTAATAAAAAAATAATGATGTAAACAAATTTTTAAAAGAATAACCGAGATAATTTAGTAATCTTGATGATAAATCCTAAGAGTTATACACATTTACACAAAAACTTATAGACCATCGGATTTGTTTGGATTTTTTCCGGATTTTAGATAATACCCAATCGGATTTGGGTATCTGAAACTAATAAGTCCTAGACCCATTCATGTATATTCTTTCTATTATTGGATATAAATTCGATTCGGATTTTTTGGATTCGGTTCGGATATAGATTTCAGATCCGCGTATTTTGCCCGGACCACAACATAGAAGAGCTAATAATAATAATAATAAAAAAACATAGAAGAGACTCTTGTTCGTACAAAGGGTCTTGGTACGTGTGTAATAAAGACTAATTAAAGGACTGTTAGTGAGCTCACTGTATAAATTAGAAGCTCTGCATTAAAACAGAGCAAATAACAAAACCAATAAAACTTCTTCTGTCTCTACATTGTCTCTCTTTTGTATGTTCACCAAGAACACATTATTGAGTATTGACAGTGAATTGTTTAAGGCCAAATCTTGCTAATATGATTAAAGTATCTTAGATCAACTCGTGATTAGTAAGGTCTAGTGATTGGATCATTGGCTCAAATCGCAACAATATGATCAGGATCTTCTCTACTAAATTTAGACCGGGCGGATTGTATCGAAAAATACTTAATGAACAACTCATAATTGATCATCATGGAAGATATGTAAGTCTTTACAATAATCAAACTGTGATCTTGGTACCAACATCTCAGAGTCCTACGATACTACTCATTGAACTGGCAAGTTCTCTGCTTTATATCTGACTGACTCGAACAATTCAGTCGATAAATAACGTTCTCCTCCACTAGGAAAAATCACCTACAAACGAGACGATTTGTTTGGTTTCGGCTAAGTAAAAGTTTATGGTAAGTAAAAGAGCCAAGACAAAGCTTACCACAATAAGTTTCCCTTTGTTTTCTGACCTCTTTGCAACCTTTAAGGCAGCCGCTGCTGAGGCTCCAGAAGATATTCCAACCTATAAGAATTTCATCGCATTTTTATCAAAAATTTCGATATTTTAGTTTCTGATTTGTACCAAGAAAAGAACTTTAAAACCAACTGTACCAACAATCCTTCTTTGATAGCAAGAAGCTTGGCTGTTTCAATGGCCTCCTCACCCGTCACCTTAACCAAACAATGCAATATCTCATAATATGGTTTTACGATTGAAAACTCGCGACAATGTTCTAAAAAGCGGTTTAGGCGGTTATCTATGATTTAAACATTCATGTGGCACGTAGACAACCGCCTAAAATTGCATAATCTTCGTTTCAATGTATTTTTCTATTTTCAAATACATTATACAAAATTAAATTATTAAGTTTTATCTCCATATAAATAGTTATAAACATTAATCTGTTAATTTTATATGTATTTAATATTTTTGTTTAAACATTAATCGATTTAAGCGTACATTCTAGGCGTTGCGTCACAACACGCTTACCGCCTAACGCTATCTTAAACAGTGGTCGATATTATCAGTCCGCTACTTACTTGAATGATTTCATCAACGACGGTTAAGTCCAAATTGGTTGGAATTTCACCAGAGCCAATTCCTTGGATCAAATGTGGACCTAAAAATACAAAATCATCAACCATGATTCGATTTAGAGATACTCAAGTCTCAAACACAAGAAATATGTTTCTTTCCTCACCTGGTCTTCCTCCGCTGAGTACTGCACTTTCTGCTGGTTCTACCGCACAAACCTATTGATCAAGACTCAACTTGATCAATTAAATTCGAAAAAATCCAAAGTTTAACGGTCATTTTTAAGAATTAGTGAAGTTTTTGAACCTTAATGTTTCTATTCTTCTCCTTGAGGAACTTCCCTGTTCCACTAACGGTTCCACCAGTTCCAACACCCGCGACCAAGATATCTACTTTCCCCGCTGAATCATTCCAAATCTCCGGACCAGTGGTTCTATAATGTATCTGCAAGAAACAACAAGATTGGATTCAACCATAAGAAAAAAAAAAAAGAAGATAGATACATTCCAAATAATATACAATTGCCTTGGATGCATGATATTATAGATATAAAACCTCGGGGTTTTCCGGATTTATAAACTGGTGTGGTATGTAACCACCAGGAGTTTTGCTTAATATATCTTCAGCTTTCTCCAACTGTCCTTTAATTCCTGTGTTCATATCAGTGAGATGAACCTCTGCTCCTAATGCTCTCAAGATGATTCTCCTCTCTAAGCTCATCGTTGAAGGCATCAAAAGTATCACTTTATACCCTCTTGATGCCCCGATGCTAGCTAAACCAATCCCGGTGTTACCTCCCGTTGCCTCAATCAATGTACTCTAATATAAACAAAACATTTTAAATTTCCAAATGTGAGTTTTAATGGCCTAGGCGACTAGTACCAGTCAATGATTTTGTAAGATGTTTTCTATTGACCTTTCCGGGAGTAATCAATCCTTTCTCTTCAGCGTCTTTGATCATACTATACGCGATTCTGTCTTTGATGCTAGAGCAAGGCTCCATCATCTCGAGCTTGGCAGCGATACGAGCCACACAACCGTCCACAATTTTATTCAAATACACCATTGGTGTGTTACCTATCAACTTCACAAAATGCGCAAAAATATACTAAAAAGCCTCAACAAAATTTTGAACATTGCTTTTAATATCTATCCAAAAAAGAAGCAAAATTACATAGAGATGAAGAAGTTGGAGATATTTACTTGAGTGATATCGTTCTTGATCGAACACCGATCTACCATATTGATTTGTCTTTTAAATCTCCTGCAGAGATAATATTTGGGTACTCAAATGTCAAAAAATGGAGTTATTATAAGATCTAGAATGAACATAGAAGACACCAAATCAATGAGAACGTAGAACGAACAGTGCAGAACTACATTATTAGCTTTTATTGATAAACAAGAAAGAACCAAAATCGTACCCTTTGAGACTTTAGACAAAAATTCAAAGAAGAAGAGACAAAAGACCGCTAAATCTAAAACCACACAAGGCTATATGTATACACATAGACGTACACGTATATATAATGTATGTAGATTAGTATTGAGTGGTTGATAGAATTGAGTTTGTATTATCTATATAATTATACGTTTTGGGAGAAAGAAAGAAAACAAAAAGTACACAGTGAAATAAACCAATAATTGTTGTAATATATGTAAACATGACAACATTGCATATTGTGGTTATGCATTTCCTAGTAATATCTAAAATACAATAAAGCTATTCACTGCGTCGATCACAAGCCTCCATAATCGTCGTAGTAAGCTACCCCGTCACCTTTGGTGTTTTGGTAGTCGACAGTTTTTTTTTGGTTTTGTGAAAAAACCATCCAATTCGCCATTTTTCGTAATTCTTGCCTTTTTACCGAAAAAAAATGCATATTCATTAAAGTCAAAAATAATACGCAATATAACATATATCCTTTATAAATATTTTTTAAATGTTTCTATGTTTACATGTATAAGTTAGATTTTTAAAATTTAAATTGTAGTTTGGTCAAAAAAAGAAGTTTAAATTGTAGATTTGGTCTCCTCATTGCCGGAGCTTCTGGTTAATATACATTTTATTAACATTTTACAAATTTAACGGTGATGACAACATGTTATATATATTGCGTATTATATTTGACTTTGCGAGATTATTTAGGCATGACCAAAACCTAATCTTAACCGTATTTCTAACTGTAACTGGACCGTTTATAAACCGTAACCGGACCGCAATCATATAAAACGGTTAAAAAACGTAACCGTTAACCGTACAAGTAAATTAGTTATGGTTAAAAAAATACTAACTGAAACCAACCGTAACCATAATAAAACCGCTGATTAATTGTACGGTTAACCGTACATTTAAATTATTAAGATAAATTATATTATAACTGTATACAATAAAAACACACATCAAATGTTCGGATAAAATTTTCACTTTATTAAAGCAACATAACAAGTTGAACTCCTAACTAATCAAAATATTTCATACTAAACTATTTTTATTCTTATTTCCGTGTGTATTTGATGTTGAGTTTCTCAGTTTCGATCCAATACCCAGATTTAACTAATTCACAATAAATATTTGAATTCACATATATTTTTTTACTTGTAAAATAAATAGTATTTCATAAGATTTTGTCTCTAATATTAATATTATAATAATCATCAAATAACAGTAACCGTATTTAACCATAACTGTAGTTAACTGTAATCGTCTTAACCGTATATATAATGGTTAAGGGTTCAAGAAAATTGTAACCGTTAACCAGTGGTTATTTAACCATAACCGTGTTAACCGTAACCATGGGCATGGGTAGGAACGAAGATGGAGATAGTGACGATGATAATGTTGACAACAATGGCGGTGGTGAATGGTGATGACAATAATAGTTGTGGTTGCCAATAATGATGATGGTAGTGGTGGCATTTTTGTGATTGCCCAGTCAACCACAGTGGATGTGATTGTGGCGATGTTATTATTTTTTCTTAACTTAAAATTTGGATTTATGTTTATGTTTGCAGGCTGTATTATGGCTAGAAATGTATATATTAGTGGTAAGGGTTTACATATTCGTTTAACTCTTTAAGGAGATTATTTATTTTCACTTATTTTAAATATTTCGAAATTAATGTTTTCGTTTCAGAAACTTGTAAAACACACAGTGTGGCTAATAAACAAGAACATATAATCATTTTTTTATAAATTTTTTTTTCTTATAATCCCAATATTTAGTATAGAGATTTTGGTATTTCTTACAAATAGGATCAAACATAACGTATATAAATTGGATATTCTGTTTTTTTTTTTTAAGTAAGGCGTTCACATGGGAGAACTAACTAAAACCTAGCTTTTACTTTTACAATCCTAGGATGAATTATGGACCACCATGGTTGATAATGATTGTCATTGAAGATATGATCTCTCTCCAAAAGTAGTGTATGAACTATGAAGAATGAAGGTCGGTTGAAGATACTTAACATGTGGTGATGAACACACGATGTAAATTGTGAAGTATGAAGACAGTTCGTGCCCTTTGGGTTATATGAAAATAACATTTAAGTGTATAAGGCTACGGTTAGGAGTGGACATATAAACCGAATCCGAAAATCCGATACAGTCCGAACCGGTTTCGCTTAGTATAACGGTAGAACCCGATATGATTTATATAGAATGTGATTTGAATTTTGGTTTGAACCGAGTAAACCAAAATCTGATAGGAAATTCGCTACATCGAAATCCATTTGGATATCTGCTAAACCCGAACCGATACGTTCATATTATTATTTTTATGCTCAATTTGGATTTGGTTAGTTATTTATTCATATCATTTGGATTGGATAACTCGGATATTTCGGGTTTGATAGGATAGTTCGGATAATTCGAGTATTAGTTTCAAATCGTGACCCAAAACTAAACTTATCTATGTTTCAATTACAATTCAAATTTCCAATAAAACTTGTAAATCGATCTGATTCCGGAAAAAAAAACTGAACCGATCTGATCCGAAAAACATTCGGATTCTATTCAAATTCTAAACATCTCTGCCCGATCTGATAAAAAAGTTCGAACGCCCATGCCTATCTACGATTGTAATGGAATTGAGGAGTATAAAAGGAATGACAATAAATTGAATACATCATCGTAAGGTAAAAGAGCTTCTATGGAAACAAAATCTACGGCTATGATTAAAATGGACAGCTTTAAGTGGACATCTAAGATTTTGTCTTCTCATTCTTCCAAGGTATATGCACAGCTAATTGCAAACGTAGTCGTTGTTCTGATTGCCCAAATCGTGTGAATGTACTTCTATCTTCACAAACACATTACACAGTCTTTTAATGTACATAATTAACAAATTGATTACCAAATAGATATAACAACTGCAACATGTAATTAGGAGAAGACATCACTAATCACACCAAAGAGTTCAAACTCCAAAAAAATACATGTTAATATAATAATGATCATATTATATGCATCACACATAAACATATTATTTGCTTTTCCTTTTATATAAATAATACCTCTTGAGAGTTCTCTTGTTTTTTTTTTTTATTGAACTCTACCAAAAACTATAATCTAATAGACTAATACAAAGGTTATGCACAAACCCACCTAGAAGCATTCATCCCCTAATCAACAAAATTAAAAAAAAAAAAGATTCAATCAAGAAAAATACTAAAAAAACAAAAAAAAAAAAAAAAACCTAGAAAGATTTCAACACCATCAGAAATTTTCAGTACTCAGATTATTAGTTTTATAATTTGCTAATACTATACCTCATCACCATACCACAAGACAACATTCATGTTCTTCCTTCTTCCTTCTTCATCTTACTCATAACTTAGACCTTATAACAAACTCCATTGAAGTCTTCTTTTGTTCATCATCCTCCACTAGGCATTGTCTTTAACTCATTCACAGTGGCTCTAATCTGCTCTTGAACCAATTCTAATCTCCTCGAATACACTTCCAACTCAAGAATCTGTTGTCTCCTCCACCGTTCGTCACCTGCTCCTTTACCTCCAAACCCTTGATTCATCGACGGGATTAGCATCGGACTCAACACACCTAGACCATGAGTACCACCTCCTCCCGGAAACCCACCCATTGCAGCCATCATCATCCCCGTTCTACCGTTCATCATCTCTTTAATCATAGGCGATACACAATTCTTAACCGTCTCTTCTATCAAACCCCCTAGATTCCTCCCGTCGATGAAATCGCCAACCGCAGCCACATTCTCGTTAAGATTAACAGCGTTCGGCAATCCCCCGTCGCAAGGAGCGAGGATCGGTTTATCTTCATCGATCTTCCCAATCCTCGACCGTGATCGTTTCCTACTCATCGTAACTTTCTTCTCCATCCCGTTTTCCAAATCAACATCCACACTCGCATTAGCAATAGAGATATTGAAACCCGAGCCACCGCCATTAGTGTTGTGGTTATTTACGTGATTACTTTCCTCAAAATCCATAACATTGTTATCTTCAAACCCAATGATCTTCCCAGTTTGATTCCAAATCTTCCTAGAGATATCAAAAGTAGCTTGATCATGAGGGCTTTTGAAGAATACCTCTTTACCAGAACTAATCTTACTCATCACATTCCTATACTTCTTCTTCAACCTCCTCAGCTTCTCCACAAGCTGATTCTTATTAAACTCCAACTGAAGCTTCGATTTGATCTGTTCATAAAACGGCGCCGTATCAGGCGGATGAGAGCTGTTTCCACGGTGGTTCGTTATGTAATCAAGAAACCCACGGAGAAGCTCGATCTCGTCTTCGTCAGTCCATAACCTCTGAAAAAGCCGTCTAGAATCATCGATCGGTGGTCTCTGATGAACGATCTCCGTCATACGATGCCATTTCTGATCAGAATCAGACGGAATTGAAGCTACAGGTACGGATCCGGCGGGAAGAGCGACGGTTACGGTACCTGTAGAAGAAGACGATTTAATAACGGACGGAGCTGTTGAAATTGCTGAAACCATAGATGGAGAATTCAGATCTTCGTATTCTGGATCGTCTTCTTCGACGTCGTTTTGTTCTGGTATAACAACATCTTCGTCTGATTCAGTTTCACCTCCTCCTCCACCACCACCACCACCACCGTCGTCTAGATCCGGTGATTCAACGGAGAATACAGTGTCGCGTTGATCCGACGCCATCGTAAGCGAGAGAGAAAGTTTTGTAAATCGATCGAATCAGATCCAGAGAGAGAGGGAGGGAATTGGAATTTGGGTTTTCACGAGGATTGATACGTTTGTGTTGGGGGTGGTAGGGTAATGAGAATATTGGAAATGAGGAGGGGTAGTTTGGGGATTTTGATGAGGTGTGTAATTATTATTAATGACTAAGGGGGTGTTTGTTGCAGTTGCAGGGCAAGTGGTCCAGTGTTTGTTGTTGTTTGTTCCTATCGTTAACCCGTGCTTTGGGTGTGGTTGGTGCGGTTTTGTTGAAAGCGTGATGATCTGAGACGATAGAAAAAAGTCAATGGTTTGTAACCGCAACCGCTACGAAACAGAAAACGCGTTTTCTTAAACGTGATTTGTGTGCATATGATGGATATGAGTTTTGGCGAAAAGTGACGAGGGTGTGTGTGATGAATGATGATGATGATGACCATTGTTTTTGGCGTTCAAAATATATTAAGAGAAACACTTTTTAGATATCACTGTATAAGTTTTTGTTTCAAAAATATCACAAATTTTTTATTTTTTCAAAAATATCAAAAATATAAAAATTGAATTTTGAAGATGTAGAGTTTTTTTGGGTTGACAGTTTACGGGTATTGTTTTTGGGGGTAATGGTTAGTATTTAGGACTTAGAAATTAATTTTGATTGTTTTTTTTTTGTTGCCAATTAATTTTGATTGTTAAAAAATTAAATTTTAGTTTTATGGTATTTTTGGCAAATTTTGTATTTTAGTGGTATTTTTGGAAAATAAATTTTCTAATGATATTTTAGGAAAAATATATATTTTAGTGGTATTTAAGAAAATTATTTATTTTATAGCTGTTACGGAATAATGATTAGAGAAAATGTGATAAAATAACAGTAAAAAGACGGTTTGAATCAAAGTTAAACAATCTTTTTTCTTTTTTCTATTTTTTATTAATTTATATTTTAGAAAAAAATATTTAATCAATTCATCTATTATAACATTTTTGAAGTACCTTTTGGAAAATAACCTTTCATTTTGTATTATTTGCATAATAAATCCTTGCCATTTAAATAAATAACAAAATTTTAAGATAAAATTTGTAATTAAATTACACTAGAATCGCAAAATTAGAAACTAATATTTATTACATTTAACAAAATTTCCTAAAATATCTCCCTAATAAATTGAATATCTCTCCAATATCTTTATATGATCTTATTTGTTTTAAAATTCACATTATTACATAAAACATAAGTATAATAAAAAATACAAAATTTTTTTCGCATATGTAGCAATTTGAATTTTTGAAAACGGACATATATTACTCAATCGATAAAAGAAAAAACATATATGTATAACATCCCACATCGGGTATAAAATTTTAGACAATGGTTCGGAACCATTATAAATATGACTAATATGAAACTTAAAAATCCAAAATCTTGAATAGAAGATTACAACAAAAAAAAGTTTTACTAAATTTTAGGTAATCCAAAATTTTAAAATCTTGATTGGTTAAAATGAATTTTTGGAAAACAAAAACCAAAATCTCTCTCGAAATCTGTAAAACATTCAAGGTTTATATTTTACATAAATATGATTTAACGGGTTTGAGTATTATGTTTTTCTTACGGGTTATCTTACGGGTTAACAAAAAAATAAATAACAAATATAACTTAAACATAATTTTTTTAGTCCCGCGAGTTACAAAAAAAATAACAATCAAAAATATAATTACACAATCTTAAACATTTCTGAAGTACCTTTTGCATTTATTCCAGGGCGTTTAGTAACTGATAACATTATGATCGCTCATGAAGTCATGCATGCATTAAAATCTAGAAAAAGAGTTTCAAAGAATTATATGGCTATTAAAACAGATGTCACAAAGGCTTATGATAGGGTTGAATGGGGGTTTTTAGAGGTTACTATGCAACTGTTTGGTTTCTCTTCTACGTGGATCAATTGGATTATGGCTTCAGTTCGATCTGTAAGTTACTCTATCCTCATTAATGGTTCCCCTCATGGTATGGTTCTTCCGGAACGTGGTATTCGACAAGGCGATCCTCTTTCTCCTTACTTATTCATTTTGTGTGCGGATATAATGAGTCATTTAATCAACAAAAGAGTTCAAGATGGCGACATTCGAGGTATTAGAATTGGTAATGGAGTACCGGCCATTACACATCTACAATTTGCGAACGATTCTCTTTTCTTTTGTCAAGCAAATTCTCGGAACTGTAAAGCAATCAAGGAAGCTTTTGAAGTGTATGAATATTATTCGGGACAAAAAATTAATACTTCAAAGTCCCTTATAACTTTTGGTTCTAAGGTTCATGGTCATCATCAAAATCGTTTAAAAAATATTTTACAAATCCCAAATCATGGGGGTGGAGGCAAGTACCTTGGACTAGCTGAGCAGTTTGGTAGGAAGAAAAAAGATATGTTTAACTACATTCTACAAAAGGTTAAACAGAGGACAGCTTCTTGGAGTACAACAAAATTATCACCGGCTGGAAAAGAAATTATGCTTAAGTCTGTTGCTCTTGCAATGCCCGTATATTCTATGTCTTGTTTCAAAATTCCAGCGACTATTATAAATGAAATAGAATCTGAGTTACAACGTTTCTGGTGGGAAAAAGAAAACCAAGAGAGAGGAATTCCATGGGTAGCTTGGAAAAGACTTCAATACACAAAAAGTGAAGGTGGATTAGGTTTTAAAAATTTATCAAAGTTTAATGATGCTCTTTTAGCAAAACAAGCCTGGAGAATTTATAAACATCCAAATACACTCTTTGCTCGGGTTATGAAAGCTAGATACTTTAAAGATGATTCGATTTTAGAGGCTAAGAAGCGTGTTAATCAATCCTATGGGTGGTCTTCTATTTTAGAAGGTCTTAAACTCATAAAATTAGGAACTCGTTATATTATTGGCGATGGTGAAACTGCTAGAATTAATGTTGATAATGTTATTCCCTCTCATCCCCCTCGACCTATTCATGGAGTAATTAACACTGACACATGCTACTTTAAAGATTTAATATCTATTGTTGGTAGTTATAGATACTGGGATTTAGCTAAGGTTTCTGAAAAAATTCCTTTAATGGACCATACTAATATTAAAAACATGTATTTATCTAGGATTTCTACTCCTGATAAACTTATATGGCATTATAATAAGTCGGGGGATTATTCTGTTCGTTCGGGATATTGGTTAGCTACTCATGATCCATCTTTAATTATGGAAAACCCTCCTGTACCCCATGGTTCCATTAAGCTAAAAAATAAAATCTGGAAACTGAATATTCTTCCAAAAATAAAACATTTCATTTGGAGAGTCTTATCAAAAGCTATACCATCTATAACTCGTCTTATTAGTCGTGGAATGCATTTGGATCCTATTTGTCCGCGATGTTTTCGGGATGATGAGACAATTGAACATATTTTTTATTCTTGTCCCCATGCCAAGTTAATTTGGGATTTTTCACCCTTTCCTTTAAATCTTTTGTTAGCTTCTTCCTCTAATTGTGAGAGCTTTATTGAAGCTTTATTATTTTTACAAACAGATAATACTTTAACTCAGGAAACAAAGTTATTTCCATTTTGGCTTCTTTGGCATATCTGGAAATCTAGGAATAATTTCATTTTTAATGGTGTTGAGGAATATCCTATTAATATTGTTCAACGGGCTAAAGGAGATGTTCTTGATTGGTTAACTTATAACGTTTCTACAACAACTAACCATGTACATCAGAGTCCTAATCATAATATGACTTGGACGCGACCAAAGGAAGACATTCTTAAATGTAATTACGACGCAGCTTTCGATTATAACACTAACCATGTCCACGGAGGCTGGATTATTCGTGATAAAAATGGTGGTTCTAATGGATGGGGATCTTCTCGTCTGGGACAAGCCTTATCGCCGTTAGAAGCTGAAGCAAAGGCTCTGCTCGCAGCAATGCAACAGAGTTGGATTAAAGGGATTCGAAAAATATGCTTTGAAGGAGATTGTGAGATTTTGAATCGGATTATTAATCATCAATTCATTGATACCTCTATAGAATGTATTATTCAAGATATTCGTTTTTGGTCTTCTTGTTTTCAGTTCATAGATTTCTCTTTCACTCCTAGGAGGTATAATAATGTTGCACATTTATTAGCAAAGTTTGGTTGTATTTCCTCTAGTTTTTTTTCTGATTGTTTTAATCCGCCACAATGGCTTTCTGAACAATTGTGTATTGATTACATTACTTCATCTATATAATTCTATTTTGACGAAAAAAAAAAACCTTTTATTTTGTATTATTTGCATAATAAATCCTTGCCATTTAAATAAATAACAAAATTTTAAGATAAAATTTGTAATTAAATTACACTAGAATCGCAAAATTAGAAACTAATATTTATTACATTTAACAAAATTTCCTAAAATATCTCCCTAATAAATTGAATATCTCTCCAATATCTTTATATGATCTTATTTGTTTTAAAATTCACATTATTACATAAAACATAAGTATAATAAAAATACAAAAAAAATTTCGCATATATAGCAATTTGAATTTTTGAAAACGGACATATATTACTCAATCGATAAAAGAAAAAACATATATGTATAACATCCCACATCGGGTATAAAATTTTAGACAATTGTTCGGAACCATTATAAATATGACTAATATGAAACTTAAAAATCCAAAATCTTGAATAGAAGATTACAACAAAAAAAGTTTTACTAAATTTTAGGGAATCCAAAATTTTAAAATCTTGATTGGTTAAAATGAATTTTTGGAAAACAAAAACCAAGATCTCTCTCGAAATCTGTAAAACATTCAAGGTTTACATTTTACATAAATATGATTTAACGGGTTTGAGTATTATGTTTTTCTTACGGGTTATCTTACGGGTTAACAAAATAAATAAATAACAAATATAACTTAAACATAATTTTTTTAGTCCCGCGAGTTACAAAAAAAATAACAATCAAAAATATAATTACACAATCTTAAACACTAAAAAGATAATAAAATTAACAAATAAAACTTAAATATATATATATATATATCTTTTTTTAGTCAAAACAATCATCCCGCGGTGTACCGCGGGTTAAAACCTAGTAAAAATACAAAATTTATTACTGTTAATAAAATTAGGAGTCGCAGCTTTAAACCAGATTTAAAACAACAACAACAAAAAAAACAATTTAACCAGAAATTAATTAATTGCACCAAACTAGCAATATTTCTTCATTTATGAAAATCATTTGCCAAAGACTGACCGAAGATGCATATACCGCCAAGAGCCAACCAACAATAAACGATTCTTCTTATCAAAATGAGTAACTCTTACCATACAATTCCAAATATACTAATAGCCAGAACCACTACAGTTCCAAATAGAGCCATTTTTTTTTAGTTCCAAACAGAGAAAAGATTTGACTTATTACTGTAAAACTATAACTTGGTTTCTTGACAGAAGATTAGCATAGGAGTTTTGTTACTTTTAGGCAATTGGAATTTTAAATAGGAGGTTTGGATTATCGATGGTAAGCCGAGGACATCTTCGATATGTAAAGATTTTTATTCATCTAGATGGGTTTAGTTTGGTCCCTTTGTGTCGAGCTTTTCAGACTCTAGATGGTTTTAGTTTGGTCCCTTTGTGTCGAGCTTTCCAGTTTGGTTTTTCTCGTTTGTGGGGTTCCTTTTCTATCGTTGTATCTTTTTAGCCATTTAGTTTTGGTTCTTTGCTTCTCTCTTTTGGGTATTAGACTCCAGGGAAATCTTGTCTTTTCCCGGCATATGTTTGTATTCCACAAAGTATTTCACTAATAAAATTTCATACGACAAAAAAAAAAGACAGAAATTAAAAGTGAAGATATTGACAGAGAAACAAGTATTTACCAGTTTAATTCAAATGGAGAAAGTAAATACAAAGCATGTCAACAAGAACCGAAATTGAGTTTTTCTTTTTTTTTTTTCTTTTTCTTCTGTTTATAAAATGAACAATTTGAAGCAGAGATTTATTTAAGTTAAAGGCAAGAGCATTCTTCGTCTTCTACTTCTTCTAATTACCATCATGAAGGAGGAGAAGAGGAAGAAGAATGTGATGGAGGAGAAGAGCTTTTAGTATAAACGAAACTTCTCCTTAGTGTTCTGGAAGACTTGTTCTGCAATAACGGCGCCATTCCCGTCTGCTTTTATTATCTCCAGGCTGGATTTTTGGTAAACCCCAGTGCCTCTTAGCGCATCAGCTATGAAGTCATCGAACCCGATGGCTATAGCTGCTTCGGCTTTAGCTCCATAAACCAATCTCTGTTCACAAGTAGAGAGGTGAGTACTTCTCATGATAATGAAGGAGAATTCAAATGATGAGTTTCTACGTTTTTACCTTGAGTCTCGATAGATGGATGGCTCCGAAACACATGGGACATGGCTCACAAGATGCGTAAATCTCGCATTCTGATAGCTCGATTTTGTTAAGTTTCTTGCATGCCTGCATCATGTCCACAACGGTTTCAAATCATTATTCCATCACCAGTTTTATGTAGTTTCAAGATTTCCAGAGCAAAGTGACACTGACAAATTTGATCGATCGATCAATCATATAAATACTCTTTTTCTACCTCTCTAATGGCTGTGACTTCAGCATGTGCAGTAGGGTCTGTGTATTTCAAAACCATATTGTGGCAGCTAACTACAACCTCGTTCTTATGCACAATCACTGCACCAAATGGACCGCCATCACCACAGTCAACTCCCTTGTAAGCTTCTTCAACAGCTTGCGTTAGGAATTTGTGGTCGCTATCGTGCACAGCTGATCAAAGACAAATCATAAACATAAACAACAACACAACTTCTCCAAGCAAGCACACCAAATTTTCAACTAACTAAGCCGGCAAGCAAAAACTACACAAAGCCAAAGGTTCCTAAAAGAAACAGGCTCTGCATTTGAAAGACGATTATAGATGCATCTACCATAACAAGAATCACATGTTGTTGATCATAACTCCTAACTATAAGTAATGCATCAAAACTGTTAAAAGTCCATTACCTTGTTGGTGACCGGAAAATGCAGAAGCCACAGAGATGGTTCCGTCTTTCGCTTCCACTACACAGTTCAAACAAGAGAAGGCAATCAGATCCTCCTCAGAACACAAAAACAAATCGACACAGCTTCTTCATGGTTAGACACAAACCAAGTTAGCATAAACCATTACTTTTGAATCAAGCAAACACCACACTAACAGAGGAATCTTCAAGCTAAGATAACACAAAACTTAAGAAACTCATTAATACTAATCTAAAAAAGTCAAAATCGAACACAAATCAATTTTGACCACCACAAATCAATTCCACGGTGAAGCATATGTACAGTGTGATGATGATGATGATGATGATGATGATGATGATATATAAACTCACATGTAATCTTTGATTTGACAACGATTAAACAACATAAACATACTTGTAAAATTTTCTCATCTGCATGTGAAATCAAATGAAGAGAAAATTCCAAAAAAATCCAAGGAAAATCTCAAGAATCCCGATCTGGGAAATTGAAAACTGAATCAACCTTGAGAAAGTATCTGATTCGAGATTTATAATCAAAATCGCGAAGATGTGAAATAATCAAAAATTCTCAAACAACGAATCTGGAACAGACTAAGCAAAATCAAAGAATAAAAATAGTCCGATCTCGATCCAGACTGAGTAATGCGAAGAGGATCGTAAATTGATTATGATTACCCTTAGCTTCTTCCATAACTGAGAACTTGAAGGTTGATGATGATGACGATGATGAATGATTCTGAAAAAAATGAAGAAGTGGTGTTTGTGTGGTGTGAAGAAGATTGAAGAAGAGGAGAAGTGTGTGTTTATATAAAGAAGAGGAAACAGAGGAGAGTCCAAGATTGAGATTTGGGGGAGATAGAGAGATAGAGACGAACACCAGAAGCTGAGGTGTGAAGAAGAGAGAGAGAGATATATAAATTGTGGAAAAAGGTGAATTAACGAGAAAGGAAAGAAACAAAGAAAATTCGGGTTTTAATACTGCAAAAATGGATATATAATAAAATAAAATAAAATAAAATAATTTAATTCGTAACATTTATAGTATATTATTCCAAACTAAGTTATAACTGATTTAAACTAGATATACAGTAAAACCTCTATAAATTAATAATGTTGGGACCGTGGAAATCTATTAATTTGTAAAGGTATTAATTTATCGATAAATTAATAATTATTAATTTATAGAGCGATATTCTTAATTTGAAAAATATTTTCAAAAAAATATTTAAAAATAAGATTTAATCATGATAATTAGTATTTGATATATTCAATTACAAATAAAATAATAATTATGTATTAAAATAGAATGCTAACTATTTTTCATATAGTAAAATATTAGAAATAAAATCTAACAAAAGCTATACATATATTTTGAAAATTTTACCTAATTATTAATTTATAATATTGATGGGACCATATATTTACAAAGGATTTTCAAAAAATTATTATCTTATTATTTTATCGAAATATGTCTAAAATTACACTGGTTCCAACTTGGGACCGGAAAATTTAATAATTTACAGAGATTATTAATTTATCGAGTATTAATTTATAGAGGATTTACTGTAGTTATTTGATTTTAAATTTAAGATTGTATACCGTAATTAGTAAGAAAATGTCACTTTATACCACTTTTATAAGAAGGTGATTAATGGAGACAGAGATTTTTATTTTATTTTTAAGTTTGAAAGTTTGATTTTTTAATTATTTAGCTGCCTTATAAGTTTTCATATTTTTTCTCACTGTCCATTTGTTTTGTTTTATTTTATTATGATTATTATTTTTTATAAAAGTAAATAATTTATTACTTTGTTTTTTTCTGTAAGTTTATAAGTTTTCGTAATTTTTCTCACTGTCCATTTATTTTATTTTACTTTATTATGATTATTATTTTTCCTAAAAGTAAATAATTTATTACTTTGTTTTTTTAATAAGTTTTTGCGTTTCGAGCAACATTTTAAACCAATCACCTCTAAATTACTCTATATTGTCATTTAAATCAAATTACCTAATAATTTTTAAACTACAATTTTCCGTTTTAATTAATTCTTGTTTTCGTATCGGTTGCGTGTACAATAGTTTTCGGAATTCGCTCTTAGTAACTGTTCACTAGTTAAAACATTATGGACTATTCTCTCTACTCTAACTAATACAGTACAAAACTGTAATTCATTTTAGCATATATGTATAAATTGTAGATTTATTTATATGAAAAAGAACCAAAAAATATATATATAAGAAAGCTTGAAGAAATAGCTAGCACAATAATAGGATCAGATAAGTCAAATGACTCAAATGAGATATGGAGAACTTTAGCATTTGGTAGATAAGACTTATCTTCCATAAAAATGGCATATTAGGGTGACTGGGAATAAAGATAATAGAGAGTCTCATCTTTCATTTTGTTTCTGTTGGGTAATACTAATTGTTTATTCTAGTCACATTAAAAAAATGCAATTATTAACTTATTATTAGTTTGATCATCTTTTTTGTTTTCAGATTCTTTATGTAGTTTTATTTTGGGGTTAGGGCATATATAGAAGAAATTTCCTAAGAAACCATATATGTGATTTGCTTATACTGTTTTGTTTGACCACAAGACAAAGTAGGTTCGGGTATTCATATCGGATATAAACTGATTCTGAAAATTTATAATCCGTTCGAGATTTATAACTATTTGGTTCGTTTAAAATTTTTTGAATTCGGATAACAGAATTTATTATCCATTCGAGTTTTAAGATTATTCGTTTCGGTTCAAATTTTTTGGATCGATTTTCGAATATCAGATTTTATACTCAAAGAGATTTTGTGCTATAGAATATATATATATATGGAAAAGGAGTCTTTGTTAATAATGACAAGAGTAAGTAGTACCTTTACAAAAAAAATCTAAAATAACAACCATGAAATGCCAAATTGATAGAAAAGGAAAAAAAACAAATACATGTAATGTGTGAGTATCATAATTACATGCCATTATAAAGAACATAATATATATATATAAAATTGTCTACGCAAACACAATTATTGAACCGAGAGAGACGCATGTTAGTAACGTTATCGGTGTGTGACTTTGTTCAATGAATAACGAATAAAACAAATCGAATCGAAGATTGGCACATTTTTGTTGACCATCTTTTACATGGAAAACGCATCAAAAGTAATCATATACTAACATATTTAAAATTTACAAAATTGTTACAACGTTTTGGTAAAAAGAAAAAATGAAAAAAGTATGCTAATTGGTGATAGAATATTTAATTTGGAGACAATGTTTCGTGGAAATTTACAAGAACTTGTTTGTGTTTACATTACGTTTGCGTGTACTGGTCATGTTTGCGTATACGGCTACCACTCTTACCCGTATCTTCCCTCTTGCGTTGATCGTTTTGTTTCGAAAGATAGTAAAAAACATATTGGGACATAAAAAGAAAGCACGGATAAGGGATCAAGTGCAAGTGTAGTCCAAATGGGTTTTTTCCCAATGTGGTAGATGATTTACTTAGGTGTTGATTGGTTCTCCCGTTTGCACCCGTCTAGCGGTTGCTAGCTGGCGTTTGCAGTTGTTATCGTAAAAAAATGCTTCACACCGGCTCGAGTCGCTCGAAATCGCTGGATTTCAAAAATTTCTTTCCGCAAGTGTTTGCAGTTATTATAAATTATATATTATCAAATCCTACATATATTCACATTAATTCTCAAAAAAAAAATCATTCTCTAAACTTATTTTTCCAATATTATTAATTATTTATTTTTCACTATAAAATTTATTTGTTTAACATTTGAATAATTATTTATATTTAGTAGTTATTTATGTTTTTATTATAATCATGTTTAAATTTTTTTATAATTTTTAATAAATATATTTTACTTATTTTTTTAATAATAATAAGGCATTTTATTAGTTATCAATCATATTTATTTTTTCAATATATTATTAAGTACTTAAAATAATTATTAAGTAATAGAGCTTTTTAGTAGTTATCAATCATATTCATTTTAATATATTTTATCATAATAATATATATTTTGGTATATTTATATATTTTTATAAATATATTTATATCTATTTTGTATTTTTTTAATCGATATTGCTCCTACTGGTCAACCAATCATAAAACTCCCACAAACGCACCCAATTTCAGACGCTAAACCAGTCGTTCAAAACACATAATAACTCTAGGAACCGCAATCGCCCGCTTCCGCAAACTCCCGCAGCCGCAACCGCAACCGTTGTGTTTAAACCAGTCAGGCCCTTAATGTTATAAATTATAAGATGAAGGATTGAGTTATATACGATTGATTTTATTGGCTGAATGCCTAGATATGATCCACGTCCAAATTATTTTTAGCTTCGGACTCATAACAATTGATCAAAGCCATCAAATCGGACTCAATAGAAAAAAAAACATTCTACTTGATATCTTGATTATCTTTTCTTGTGTTCAAGATATTGAGAGAACAATAAAGAAGTTGATGCGGTGGCTAAGCTTATTCTATAAAAACCTAATTTTTCTATGCATATAATTTAATTGAGGAAAATATCTTACCAAAAAAAAAAGGATTGAGTTACACTAAATAACTGATCTACAAAAAAATTATTAAGTTACACTAAATAACTGATCTACAAAATCATTGTGGTTTGTATTCTATTTACATATTGTAGACATGTTAAATACAATAAAAATAAATAAAAAAAGAGTATGAATACACTTGCTTCAAAATTTAACCTAGTCATTAAACAACAAAAAGAAAAAGAGAGAGTATGAATGTTCTTGTTTTCTCGATAATTGAATCTTTTACTCCAAAAACAATTAAACAATTACATTGTTTAACTTATTAAATTTGTTGGGTTATTTGAAGTCTTTATCGTTTAAGAGTCTAGAAATAAGAGACTTGTTCTGACCAGTTTGAATTGTGGTCTATTTCAGTTTATGCTTTCTTAGTTACATAATTGGGTTAGTTGAGATCGTGTGCTCTAGTTTTTCGTTTGCTTCTGTACATGTAATTGCTATAAAAAGGCAATGGAAGGCTATGAATAAAGTAGATCATTCAGTGCAAGTTTTGTGTTCTTCCGAGTCTAAAACCACAAAATTATGAAAGGGTTGTATCATTTTCTGTCAAATCATAACTTCTTTATGGGTTCACAGTTCTTACTTATTTAACACATGCCAAAAGTTTCAGTTTAGAAAGTTCAGATAATCGAAATAAAAATCCAATGTAAGTAAGCAATGATCAGTTTTAACACATTTTATCCCACACTCTCGGCAAGAGATCTCATAAATTATTTATGATACAACAATTATTATAATTTAAAACCCAAAAGAACTTTTCTTCATTAGAAAACGAGTAGACATAGTCATTAGAATATTTCATTGGATTCGGTTCAAATAATTTGATATATATTATCAGGCGTCTATGTTTTATGAATTTTCAGTTTTGTTTTGGTTTGGATAAATGTCGGATTAAGAATGATCTTAGGTCGTTTTACAGTAAAACTAAAACAATGATGTCTAGTTAAATTTTGCAAAAATTGTAAAATTTTAACAAAATATAACTATTTTTTTTATATCTAGCTCATATATATAATTATATACTAATATTTGAAATCTTATTTCCGGTTTTTCATTATTGGATATATTGTACTCCCTCTTTTTCACAAATGATATCATTTTGACACCATTCACACATATTAAGAAAATGTATAGTTATACATGTTTACCCATAATAATTTAAATTCAATGATAATGATTTTTCGGTTTAGGGGTAAAAAATTTTTTTTGTGTAAATATTACATTGGAACGGTAGAGTGACTCTCTTTGTAAAACAAGGAAAAATCTCTAATATGATACTAACGGAGAGTTAAAAGTAATTTGAGCAGGAGAATTCATTGTTCGTTCGGGTTTTTATATTTGGATCTGTTTTAAGATCTTGAGTTTCATATTCAGCCTTGCAAGTGGTAATGAATAATGAATCATTCACATGATCACCATCTACTTACAATCTTCTCTTTATGGTATTCTAATGTTAACTGATTCCATATGAAAAATTTAACGTTGTGATCGAAAAGTTACTAAACTATGAGTTAAGTAAAACTGGACATAACTCCACATTATGATGGGGTTTGCATTTTTTAAGAGGAACCAAAGAAGATGGAAGATTAAAAATAAATGTATTGGAAACAAAAATCTTAACCACACTTGTTCTCTAACGCTTTAAAACATGATCCAGCAGCAAGTGTTGACAATAAGAAGCGCACAATCGAGATGTAATTAGAAGATGTCTAACACAGCAAAACAATGGTCATAAAGAAAGGAATGATGCAGAAACAAAACCAATGTTGCTGCTCCTCTTCTGTCCTCTTTAACCATCTTACTTCTTCTTAGGGTCACCAGCCTTGGTCTACACACAACATTGAACAACATTGTTAAGAAAACAGTTCATCAAACAAACAACTTCGAATACAAAAAATCTCTAGTCAGGTTTTAGTCTCTCACCTTCTTAACACCACGGATCTTCTTCGACCTGTTCTTCCTTTCCTTGATCTGTTTCCTTGACTTCTCAATCTTAGTGTCAAGCCCGTTCTGTCAATCACACACACAAATCAACATTAGACTCATAACTTGGTAATGTCTAACTCTGAAATGATTACATCTCTTCTCACACAAACTCAATAGTTTCATGGCAAAACAGGTTAAAACAAAGCACCATACCAAAAACTAGACCCAAAGCAGCAAGAAAGAGCATTTACCCTGATCACTCTGTACTTGGTAATTTCTAATTCTGAAATGATCACATCTCTTCTCACACCAACTCAATAGTTTCATAGCAAAGCTACACTACCAAAAACAAGACTCAAAGAAACAAGAAAGAGAACTTACCCTGATCAGTCTGTACTTAGGCTCAAACTTCTTAGCATTCTCAACAGTATCATAGATCAAACCATATCCAGAAGATTTACCACCTCCAAAGTGAGTTCTGAATTTGAAACAAAAGATAGCATTTGGGTCCTTAACCTCATACATCCTTGCCAACTTCTCCTTCAACTCAGCCTATTCACAATGCACAAAACCCCCAAATTCAATCATAACATTACAACACTTCTCAAACCCTCCAAGACAACAAATAGAACTAAAGATCATACCTTTGATACATTGGCTCTTCCAGGATGAAGAACATCAATCACCTAATACACAAAATCCCTCAATTAACACTCCCAAATGTTCGTATATACTATCATTTCTATCTAAATCTATAGCTAACACTGTGAAGCATCAAATGAAACATATGAGACAGAGAGAGATTGATGGAGAACTCACGAATTGCTTCCTGGCGAGAAGCCTGTTAGTCATGAAGTTTCTAGTCCTGATAGTGACAGCTTTCTCCGCCATAGCTGCTGCGATTTTTAACTCCGAGATCAGTCTCTTTTTTGCAGCGGCTTTAGAAGAAGAGAGCAGCCAAAACCCTAGATTATTTATATATAGCTCTCACTTTCACATTATTAGGGTTTGTTTTTTTTTTTTTTTGGTTCCTCTTCAGAGTTTAATGGGCCTAACTTAATTGGGCCTTATAAGATCTATGTCGAGATATTAAATTAGTTTGTTTCGGGTTTACATGATATACAAAGACAATTCAGATAATTAAAGCCCCCATTTGCGTAGGAGTAGCTATTTTGCTAACAAATACAGTAAAACTTATGTAAATGAATCTATACTATTACAACAGAAGGACAAGCTATGTCCGAACATGCCCAATTATTTTAAAAAAATATCATGAAATTAAAACATGTTGCCAAACAGAATAAAAGACAGCATTTTTAAAAAATAAAAATAAACAATAAAACACAGAAACTATCTATATCTATGGATCATACTAATTTTGTTGCCCAAAAAGTGGACAATTAAATTCGAAAATCTCCATATATATAACATATTGAAATTTTTGGGATATTTTTTAAACAATAATTTAATATTTAATAAAATTTAATTTATAGTATTTTTATTTGGTTTAATGATTTTATTCAAGTATTTTTATTAAACGAAATTGATATTATCTTAAAGTCTTAAATAAATAATTAAAATGTTTTAGTAAAAAAATCTTTACAAAATCAATAATAATTTTGTTTTTTCAAAAATCAATCTAATAAATATTTTGCATCACATACAATCTCTTATTTTCACATTAAAAATCTTCATACTGAAAATGTTTTTCGAAAATATAGCAAAAAGATATTTATATATTTCCTTGAAATAAAATAAAAAACCAAAATAACATGTGACCAAAAATAAAATCGTCAAATAAACATTCCTTATTATTAACATCAATTTAATAATATATTAACTCCCCAATCTCGCTGGATATTAACTAATATAGAACTAGCATTTAATAGTTTTAAGAAAGTTCAGGAAATCATATCACATGATTATTATATTTTCCATATAATATAACATTGCCAGTCCACAAAAAGAATTAAACAGTTAATGTATGTTACAAATAAATAAATAAAATCAAATAATTATGATTAAAAATTGAATAAAATAGTTATTTCAATTTCCAAAAAAGAAACGGGTAATACAAAAAAAATTATATAACTATTTCTCATCAAAAACAAGACGAAATAAAAAAATTTGGAAACTTCAATTCAATTTCAACTTTCAAATATCAAATGACAGGTATGATACATGAGTATAAAATAAAATAGCAAAAGTAAGTTTCAAATTACTTAATAATTTCAAATATCAGGACAAGAAATAATGGATACAAAAAGAACGGGTAATTTAATTAGTTAATTACAAGCTATATAATATTGTTTTAAAAAAAATGTTAATGATTTCATTTATATAAAAAAATATACAATCATATCTTAGAGGGAAAATACGGATACAAAAAGGGAACGGGTAATTCTAAAAATAAATTATCTAAACTATTTCTCATAAAAAAAGGACGATATAAAAAATTTGGAAACTTAAATTCAAATTTAAAATATCAAATGACGGGTATGATACAAAAATATGAAATTTAAATAGCAAAAAGTAAGTTTTAAATTACTTAAATATTTCAAATATCGGGACAAGAAATAATGGATACGGAAAGAGAACGAGTAATTTAATTAGTTAACGAGTTTGACTGATGGTGTAGTAATAGCAGTTCAATTTGGTGTAGGGCATGCATAGTGAACGGGTTTGACTCTCCTAATATATATATATGTGTATTTATGTTATTTTATTCTAAAGTTTTAATGTTTTTCATTGGTTTATGTGATGTGATAGTTCAGAAATTTAATTAATTTCTAACTTATCACTCATTCGGTTTACACTCGATCCGGGTCTTTTATCATGTCGATCCAAATATTTTGAAACTTTATGATAAACTTAACTTTTGCAACCAACCCCGCACGTACGTGCGGGTCCATCCCTAGTACTCTATAAATTAATAAACACTTAATAAATTTTGCTAGTTCCAAGTTAGACCTGGGTAAAATTAGTAATATCCGATAAGATAATAATTTCTTTTTAAATCCCCATATCAAATGATGTCGCAATAATATTGTAAATTAATAATCACTATACATATATATACACATATATTTATGTGTGCTTTTAGTTTTTTTTTTGTAAAAATAAAATTTTCCCATAGCTCATTTCTGTCAAACAGTTATATGTTTGCTAGTTTTAAACTATTTGTAATATATTCCATAACATGTCATGAAAATAACCAAATATTGTTTTAGGTTTTCAATCGCTAAGTATACATCATATTCGTTTTTTGTTTTATAGGAGGTTAAAATATAACATTTGAAGTTATTAACCATAAATTTGAATTTATGTATGTCATATGTATAAGTGAATTTATTGGTATTATTAGTAATTTATTGTCAATTTTTTTTCAAATATAAAATTCAATTCCAAAGTATAAAATTTATAATGTCTAAAAAACAAAAATCTTACTGTATTTTTGTAAAATTTTCCATTTCATATTTTTAAAAACTTTTAAAATTAAAAATACCACTATAAATTAATAAATATTAATTTATAGATAAATTATCATTATAACATTAATAAATTTCTGTAGTCCCATCAATATGAATAAAATTCTATTAATATTTTCCTAATTTTGGTAAGTTTAAAAAAATATGTACATCAAAAATAAGATTTAGTCATTATAATCAATATTTTCTTAGAATCAATTAAACAAAAACAACAATCATCATGAATGAATAAAACACTATAACTTTTTTGATACATGAAATCTATTAGAATTGAATTTTGATAAAATATTATTGTGAATTTGAGAATATCAATAAGTAATAACATAATAGTCATATTTCACTAAAACTGTTACATGTATATTTATATATATAATTATTAATTTATACTATTATTGGGACCATATATTTACAAAGAATTTTCAAAAATATTATTATCTTCTAATTTATCAAGAATTCATTTATAGAGTTTTTACTGTACCAATTTTGTCTTAATTTACTATACCATAGCTGAACTCTTTTTTTCTTAATTCAGTTTTTCATGTGATGAGTTTGAACCGAGTGAGTTTACTATATGATAGCACGTCCTACCGCACAAATGACGTTTTCTCGAAGAGTTAATAAAATTGTATTCATATTCTTATTTAAGATAGTGGTTATTTTCATATTGCAGATGTTTAGCAAAATAAGATGTTTTCAGTTTAGTATGGTCGGTTCGACTGGTTAATCTACGACCCGAACATTGGATACTCTTTCCAGTTGAGTTTAGTGTTTATAATTGGTAATCTTATAACTGGAAAAAACAGAAAAACTGTTATTAACCCTTGACCCTATGAACCGGCCAGATTTTGGTTCACAAAATCTATATGAATTGGAAGTAAAATATAGAATTTTAATTATTTATAAATTATAACATTTTTTTCTTTTTTTAAACTAAAATAAATATAATTAAAATTGGTTATAGTAAACCCGTGAGACAAATTTATTTTTATTTTGTAATATGTACTATTTTCAAAAATATAATTAAAATAGAGAATTTTACGAATATAGATTTGGTTGTTGTATGTCCAAATAAATTTTATTATGTGAATTTTGATATTATATTAGTAGTTGTACTTCTTTATAATATACTTCTAAAAATATTGTAAAAATGTAATATTTATAGTTTCAGTTTCACGTATATTCATTATTTGATTAGCAAAAATAAAATAGGTTCGATATTTTCTTACAAATATTTTTCTAATAATGTGACTAATGAGACTTTGTGATTTTAATTATATATGTATTTATTTATAGGAAGAGATGGAGTTAATGGGAAATTTATGTTTAAATTTTAGAGCTATGCTCGTGGATAAAACTACATCTTGATCAATATATATACAAACTGGACAATTTTATACAAACTGAAGATGAACATATTTTATACAAACTGGACAATGTTAAAAAACTATTTAAAAGAAAATATCAAACAGTAAAATATTATAATAAAAACTATAAATAATTAATAAAAAGCGTTATGATGATAAAGAAAATTAAATTATGTATTGCCACGCTAATAAAATATTTTGAATATTTGTTTTGTTTGTGATTATGGAATCGGTGTGATTAGGTGTTGTGAATAAGAAGTATTTTAGTGTTTTGAGGAGATTCCGAGATATGATGTGAATGAGTAAAGATAATCTTGGTGAGCAAGTATTAAAAAAAATTTCCAAAACTGAAAACATCTTATTTGCTAACCATTTGCAATATGAAAAATAAACACTATCTTGAATAAGAAAAATTTAGAAACAAATACTATCTTCGAGAAAACGTCATCTGTGCGGTAGGACGGGCTATCTCCTAGTCTAATATTTAATTGATTTTGATATACATATTTGGAAAGTAGCTTTTTATTTTGTATTATTTGCAATCATAAACCATTGTCATTTGAATGAGGGCTGCATATACCTGGCTCCCTATAGTTTACGGTTTCAAGTAGGTTCCACCTCTACTTTTACACTCTACCCAATTCCACATAAACAAATTATTTTCTTCCTAATTCTATCTAGACTATAAGATGCTATCTAATTAACCAACATTAATTGATTTTGTGTGTTTTAGAAATTTCCGCGAATCCTAAAATCGAAATTAGGGCTTCTGTGTTCTTATAAATTCCCCCAAAACGATTTTAGAGGTTTTTATTCGGATTTGGGTTGTATTGACTAGAATTCGGGTCAAAAAAATATCCATCCGGGTTTAGTTAATCGTGAACAGTGAACGTGAATTAACGATTTTCAAACACAAAATCCCATTTTCTAACATCTTAATTGATATTTTTACCCGAATTCTAGTCAATAAGAACACAGAAGACCTAATTTTGATTTTAGGATTCCTAGAAATTTCTAAGAACACAAAATCAATTGATTTTGATTAATTAGGTAGAATTTTATAGTCTAGGTGGAATTGGGAAGAAA